ACCCACAGGCACATTTGTAAGCCATCACCTTTTTTATTCCACTTTTGTCAACTGTCTTTCCTCTGTCTCTGCAATGTCGTGGTTACTGCACAGTGATGGGGAGAAGGAAGATGGGGAGCAAAATGAGACAAGGAAAAAGGGGGAAACCCCCAAGGTTAGTAGCCCAAAATCCAAAACCACATGAAGTCCACTCATGTTCTTCAGCAGCCACGTGAGAAGATAGAAGCAGAGGATTAGAGTCCAAACCCTGATCTACTTCCAGCTCTTGGGTTTCAAGCACATTGAAACAAAAATATTTAGGAGACAAATTACTGCCTTTTGTTTTGTATATAGACACCTTGGAAAAAATGGCTCACAGCCCAACAGCCCAGGCACTGAGGTGGTATGGGATCTAGAGGGACGCGATTAATGAAAATGCCTGGTTCTAGTCCCACTGCTACCAACCAGACAACCTACCACCTGTTGTTACGCGCTCTGAGTCCAGGTTCTCTCTGTCTTAACTATAATTGCCTGTGAGACTCAAACAAATGAACATAGTCATAACAGCAGGATGTGCTGGCATGTGTCAAGTCCCAGGCTCCCTGAGAAGCCACATGCGTTCCCTGTGCTAGTGGACTGCAACCCCATGTCGCGGGTCTTATCTCCTCTCCAGCAGCTGACAGGAGCCAACACCAGTGGGCCACCACCGCATCCCAACCCATAGGAGCATTATTCTTGCAGTGTGCGTGGTAATCCCATGAGGTCGGGAGTGTGACTGTCTCCATCTTACAGCTAAGGAGGCTGAGAATTGGAGGGGAAAAGAAACTTGCCCAAGCTTGTGGACTGGCTGGCGCCATGTGCGGGGCATCTTCTAAGCGTTTAATCTGCACCTCAGCCCCGAGAGAGGTCACTGTGCTTATCATCTCCAGCTCATGGACGAGGACAATGAGGCACAGACACTTTATGCAGTCACAGGGGTGCTGGTGAGCCCAAGGCATGGTGGCGGGGTTGTCACCAGGCTGGCCCTAGGCGTGGCTCTGGCCCTCGGCCACCCTCCCTCACCACCATTTTCCAAATCTTACTTATTCTCCAGCTTTCTTGGGGAGTTTATGAGGCACCCAATGTCTATCCAAAATGTTTCTTTCCATGTAAATCGGCCAGGGTATGTTTCTGCTGCTGGCAAATGCCAAAGCAACACTACAGTCCTGGTTGACTTCTCACAGCCCAGGAAGCACAGATAGTGGTGTCCTCCTGCCCATCCCACATCTGTGGAAAACCCGTAAAGAGAATGGAGAAAAGGGGGCACCAGGCTGGATCAGCAGGGTCCCTGCCCTTGGAGAACTCCAAGTGGGGAAGGAAAAAAATGCATGCAATGCACTTCTGAGACAAAGCAATGATGGAAAAAGGAATAAATCAAAGTCACGCACATAACAAAAGACTGAAGGAATTAAAAGAGGTTGCATTGAGATGGTTTTTAAGAATGAGCATTTGGATAAGCAGGAAAGCAGGAGGCAGGGACAATAGGAATGGAAGAAAGAGCTATAATGGAGGAAAGAGAAAGGTGTACTCAATGAACAGAATGGGGGCTCACCTGGTGTACAGAGGTGACAAGTGAGAATGAAGGGGTAGGTTGAGAACAGAGCATTTTTCTTCCACATACAAACACATAGATATACATAGACATAATATATACTATGTGTGTAGGTATATATGTACATATGTGTGTGTATAATGTGTGTGTATAAATTTTATACCACTTCAGCCTAGAAAGTACTTAAAGAAGAGTTCAGCTTTATCTGAATCCACTGTCAGGCCATCAAGAGTTCTCACAAAAGCATCCTGCCCCATGCTTGACTCAGAGGAAATGGAGCTGGTCACAGCTCCAAAGGCATGAGCAGCTGGTCTTCAAAGAGGTCCCACAGGTAGTACGACTCTCAGGCTGGGGATGCCGGCGCTTCCCCTCCTCAAATATCTGTTGAAGAGTTTTCGTGAAGAAGCCGCTGCATCGGGCACCATGAAGGCCCTAAGACACATTTCTAAGGACGCTGGGAATATGGCTCTTTGAATTCTTATGGGCAGTAGGGCAGCTTGCGCACAGGTCACCAGCTCTGAACCTGAAGTCTATCCCAGTGACATGGGGAAAGCCACCTCAAGTAGACAGATTAAGCAGCAATCTGGCTGAACAGCCTGATTGCAAGGCGCAGCCAGGGAGGCAGAAAGTAGACTGCAGAAAACAGGTAGATTTTACTGGGCAGTTTCATCGATGACTAGAAATTAGGCCCCAGAGCATGGCTCACAGCAACTCCTAAGCAAGTCTCAGACTACTCTGCCACATACCATGGGTGGGGGGGTTCATGCTGCCAGGAGACCATGACCCTATATTGATTTCCTTTGTTGGGGGTAAGATTTCTAACCCAGGAGCATTACAGCCAATGACCAAGCTCTGAGCATGTGTTTTGAGTACATGTCATCAGTACCTAGATCTGAGCTGGAGGGCCCTCCAAACATAAAATACATTTCTGCAGCTTGAAAAGAAAAAAGACTGTTTGGGGCTGGTTTGAATTAGGTAGAATGAAGACAGGAATTTTCCTGAAGTCCCCTCCCCTTGGGCAGCTACTCACTGCCTAGCAGAGACAAAATACGGAGCCTGACTGACCTTGGCGCATGACCCTGCAGCCTGGCCAAGGGACCACTGAGTCTGGGTAGTCTGAGCAGTAGAAAGACCCCACGGGGGCTGCTGAGAATGACTTTACATATCATCACCTACCTCCCATTGCTTCAGTGACTTGACTTGTCTTTTAGGATTCTGCCTAGTGAGCTAGGATCGCAGCCACACATCCGTAGCCTGTGTGATCAGCACAGCTCTGGTCCCTTATGTGTTGCAGTCATCACAAAGTACAATTATGCCTTTAAAGCTCAGGTGCAATTAAATCTCTATAACGATGCTAACGGCTCAAGCAACCTTGAAGCAGCTGCCACATTTAAAAAAGATCATTCTGAATTGTTCCATATCTGAAATTGCTCTGTAAAATCTTGTTAATTTTTCATCTTCAGTTGAGAATGCATTTAATGCTGAGAGGATGGCTTCCTTCCAGCCACACTGCACAAAAGTGGATTCCCTTCATCAGCTGACAAAACTGCCCTAGAGCACTAAACTCCACTGGACAAGGCTGAGCTCAAGTTCCTAGGGATTTGCCTCCTAAGAGGCCAAAGTAAAGATTAGGTCACAGGATACAGCACAGTCCAGAGCCCACTAAGGGCCGTTCAGGCTGACATCACTTCCTTCAAGAGGGACAGAGAAAAGACAAATGTGTGGCTGTCCACATGAGCAAGTGGTCAGGTCCCCTCCTTGGCACTCCCACTGCCCCTGACTTTCCATAAAGGTAACCAGTCACTTATGATCTTACTACCTGTCTGCTCCCCAAGCAAACTGTGAACCCCTCAGGGGAGGAGCTGTGTCTGGTTCACCACAGGGTCCCTGATAACCATCAGAACAATGAATGAATGGGGCACTGCCTCCACTGAATGAAGGATGGGTAACAGATAAACCAAGGAAGGAAGATATTAGGTATCCAATCACAAAGACAGGTACAAAAAAAATGTTTCAGAGACTGTGAGTTGGATGTTCTTTAATCATGGACCAACCCCTCTAAACAGTGACCTAAAACAATTTAGAAATGCAATTTACATTCATGTTCTTTCCCAATAATAGTGACAGCATGATGGCTGACCACTTCCCCCCAGCAGCTGTGTGCTAAGGCTGCACACACATCATTTTATACAATAACCCTCAGAGGGAGGTGGTATCCTTATCTCGATTTTACAAAGAAAAACTGAGGTTAAAGGGGGCAAAGTTACTTGCTTAGGATCACAGGGCCAACAAGGGGACGAGCAGGATTCAAACCCAGAGCCCTTCTCTTGACGCTGCACTCTTGTATGTGATACTGAAACTGGGTAGGTGATGGAAACAGGCCCCTGATAGCTTTGATACTTCAATGGTAGACAACAGGGCAGGTTTTTACTTTGGAGATACTATCACTTTCAGAATTATTTTCTCGGGGAGAATGGCTCTTTGTTTAGGAACCTCTCACGTATGACAGAGCAAAATCCTACTCAATGATAGTGACAATGACGAGGGTGATGTCATTAACTTCAACTCTTTCTACACATCATCTGTTTAGTCCGTACAACCACCAATGAGGTAGACACAATTATTATTCACATCCTAGAGATGAGGAAACGGAGGTCTAATGAAAGGAGGTGGTGTGCCAAAAGTCACACCAGTAAGAGGTAGAACCCCAGGTCTAACCAGAGGCCAACTGACGCCAAAGCCTAGTCCTTGGCCATTAGAATCCCAACTCAAATGGGCAGATGGGAATTTTTTTGGTGGGGGGAAAACAACTCTAGAATCTATGTGAAGACTGGATTTGAGGGACACAGCCTGAAAACAGGGATTCCCTGTAAGGTCCTTGTTGCTTTGTACTCTAAGAAAAACCACAGTTGACTATATAGCAATCCCAGGAGCTCCCCAACACTTAAATACCATTAGAAGGACTAGAGGAAGTAGAGACAGAGACTAGACCAGGGGTCAGTAAATGACCTCCTACAGGTCAAATACGACCATCTGTTTTTGTAGATGAAAAGTTTTGCTGGAACACAGCCATATCCACTGACTTACACATATTTATGGCTGCTTTTGTGTTGGAACAGTGGAGCTGAGTAGCTGCAACAGAAGCTGTATGGCCTGCAAAGCCTGAGATACTTACTATCCGGCCCTTCACAGAAAAACTTTTGCCAACCCCTGAACTACACGTCAGAGAGCTTCATGGAAACAGCATGGGGAAACAGCAAGCCAGAGTCTCCAGGCAGAACGGGCATACACTTCACCTATCCAGCTCATGCTGATAACACCCAGCTTGTAACTGTATTTTCCAATAAAACGTACTATGCCAAACCAGCCAGCTCTGCCCCCACGCCCCCTTCTCTCCTCCCTTTGAAAGAAGCCGCGGCATGAATCTTACCTTTGTTGTACATGTTCGTTGGCACCTGGACGTCACTCAGACTGATGTTCACAGGCAAGTTATTGAAATGGTCATTTGGGGCTAAGATGAATTCCTTCCCCAGCTCCAAAAAATTCCCATCTTTGTCCCTTTCATTTATCAGCACAGCATTGAAGTATTCATACTGAAAGAAAAAGTCAAAAGCATTCTATGAGGCCCGGGGCAGAGGGCTGTGAACTCAGACAGACCTGGGCCTAAGCTCCAGGCCGTCATCTACACTGCGGGTCCTGCTCTGGTCATGTCACCCCTTTCGGTCTTTCATATTGTCAGATGTGATAGCACTATATAAATATTTCCTAAAGTCATTCAACATTCGGGGAAACATAAATTGAAGGAGCAGCACAGGACTTCATTATGTGAACATAGAGAAAAGTGCCTTAAAAATATTTGCATTATTTCAATTCTGAAGATAGATGCTGTCTTTGTGCAGCCTCCACTTAAGTTGAAGAAGACTGAACAGCATCAAAAAATAACAAGTAAATATAGACAGTCAAGCTTGCCATGGAACAATAGTAAAACAGGGGAAGGGGAAAGCAGCAGTGCAAGGGCTGTTTTCTATATGAAGCTTGGGGACGGTCTCACTACTTTGGTGACGCTCACACAGAGAATGAATGAAGGGAGGAAGTGAGTTGTGTGGACATGTGGGGGGAAACATCCCAGACAGACGGGACAGCAAGAGCAGAGGCCCTCAGATGGGAGTGTGTTGGCATGTCTTACAAATGGCTGTATCACCACCATCACCACCATTATCATCATTATCATCATCACCATCACCATCATCATCATCATCATCGAACACACACAGGATGCTTACTTTGTTCCATAAGTTATTCTACATGCTTTTCATGTGTTAACTCTCCTTTCATGTGTTGACGGTTATAACAACTCAGTGAAGAAGGTTTTATGAGTACCTCCACTTCACAAATGAGGAGACTGAGGTCTAGAGCATTTAGGTACCTGTCAGGCTTGTTCTAGGAATTGCCAAGTTAATTTTAAGTTTACATAGAAGTGAAAGGGATCTAGAAAATTTAGAACAATTTTTTAAAAAGAATGGAGTCCAAGGACTCATATTTCCTGATTTTATGTCTTACCATAAACCTAATTAATCAAAACAGTGTGGTATTGGCATTAGAATAGACAAACAGATCAACGGAACAGAGAGAGTCTAGAAATAAAGCCACACATATACAGTAAATTGATTTTCAATAAAGGTGCCTACATAATTCAATAGGGAAAGTAATTCCAACAAACTGTTATGGAACAAATGATTAATCATATGAAATCAGCATCCTCAACCACTAATTCACAATATACACATATTAATTCAAGGTGGTTGATAGACTTAAATGTGAAAGCTAAATCTATAATTCTTTTTTAAAAATGATGAATATCTTTTGGCTTTCAGGTAGGCAATGATTTCTTAGGACAGAGAAAGCACATACAATTTTAAAAATTAATAACTGTGACTTGATGAAAATTCAAATTGTCTGATCATCAAATTCACTATTATTAAAACAATTAGGAAAAACGTTGTTGAGGAAAAAGTACTTATAATACACATCTGACAAATGACTTATAGCCAGAATATGTAAAGAACGCCTAGATAATGGAAAAAATGGCCGCGGTAAGGAAGTCGCTGTGTTAGCTCGCGCAAACCACGGCAATTTTGGCAGCGAAAACACAACTCTGCGGGACACGCTGAGCAGCAAAAGGACTCCCACGCGGGCTACTTAGAGGTGGACAGACCCGTCGGGTTCGGGAATTGGGAGGCGAGGTGCGTGGAGACACGGGCGGCACCC